CTGTGGCATCACAGCTCACTGCAACCTCCACCTCCTGGACTCAAGTGAGTCTCCTGCCTCAGCCTCCCGAGTAGCTGGGACCACAGGCATCTGCCACAACACCCGGCTATTTTTGGTTGCAGCCATCATTATTGTTTGGCGGGCCCAGGCTGGATTCAAACCCACCACCTTGGGTGTATGTGGCTGGCACCTTATCCACTTGAGCCACAGGTGCCGAGCCAGCATTAGTATTTGTACAGATGGAGCCCTGTTTATGTTGAAGTGTAGAAGGATTTATTACACTTGCACAAAAAAAGAATCCAAAAATTATTTTCATACACTGTTTTCTACATAGACAAGTGCTACCATCAAAATCATGAGTGCCCGAATTATAAAACATCCTACACGACTCTGTTAAAATTATTAGTTATATAAAAAGTAGGCCGGGTGGGTGCTGTGGCTCACTCCTGTAATCCTAACACTCAGGGAGGCCGAGGCTGGTGGATTGCCTGAGCTCACGGGTTTGAGGCCAGCCTAAGCAAGAGCAAGACCCTCTCTAAAAATAGCAGGGCATTGTGGCAGGCACCTATAGTCCCAGCTACTTGGGAAGCTGAGGCAAGAGAATCACTTGAGCGCAGGAGTTAGAGGTTGCTGTGAGCTGTGATGCCACAACACTCTACCAAGGGTGACAAAATGAGACTCTGTCTCAAAAAAAGAAAATTCAACCTTGAAAAGAAAGTATTCTAAAAAAAGGTCAAGCTCAGATATCATTAAATGTTAAATTATAATAAACAGAATAATAAATAAGTATAAATACATTTTAAAAGAATTTTAATTGTTATCTTTTTATTATAAATTATAATAATAATTGTTTTATTTTAGTTTCTGGTCATAATGGTGCATTTTCTTTGTGTTAATAAATAAATCAGGCTCGGCGCCTGTGGCTCAAGTGGCTAGGGCACAGGCCACATACACCTGAGGTGGCAGGTTCGAATCCAGCCCGGCCCTCCAAATAACAATGATGGCTGCAACCAAAAAATG